CCACAGGCCGGCGGGGCGCGCGAGTCCATCTGCGTCGGCGACAACGTCGGTGGCGACCGGCTGTGCTGGACGCGCGTAGACAAGGATGGCGTCAAGGAGTTTGTCGTGTGGCTGCGCCTGGGCGGCGAGGGCGAGCTGGTGCTGCAGGTGTTCTCCGTCTGCACGCCTGGCCACTTTGAGGAGACGCACGGCCGGCGCGAAGGCTGGGAGGACGCGGACAGGGTGTATGGCCTAGCCATTGGCTGGGCAAACGCCTGATCCTGCCACGTGCACACGCTCGCATGGATGCACACGTAGCATGTTTGCACGTAGCGAGGTTGCGGTGCGCAGCACGCTCAGCCATGTTCGAGTGTGAGTCCCGGCAGTTGCCTTCCATCTGTGTGTAATTAAGGACAATCCAGGTTGTGAAATCCCACTCAAACACGTGTCGTATAAGTGACATATGACGTGAGTCCTCACTCACTTGGCCAGACGGCCCTGGACATTCAGGGTAAGCTCCGAGCCCTTCTTATAAAGCACCTTGTGCACCTTCATGCCGTACAGGAGGACCGCGACTGCATCCGAGATGTCGCTGGGGAAGTTGATCTGATTATTGGTGGAAGGGCTCGTCACCTTCTCAGGGAAGGACACTGGCTCCTCCGGGTTGCCTAGCAGCGCCTCTACGCGACGGCGCGTCGGTGCCTTGTCGTCATCCCCCCCCCTAACATGCGCGCTCACGCCGAGCCCTCCCTTCCACGTCTGCTGCGTCCACTCGTCGAGACGGAGCGTGGAGGGGGGGGCGAGCGCCTTGACGAAGCCGCGCACGTAGTGACTCAGCTCCGCGTGCGCGACCCCCTGGTTCGACTCGAACGCCTCCATGAAGATGTATCGCGGCGCGCCGTGCGTCTGAAAGATTAGCGATAGGCCTCTGAGAATCGCGCCGAGCCGGCGGGCGCCCGGAGAGGCATCACCCGGACCTCCCAAGGTCAAGCGGCGGCACTCAGGTCCCAGGTTGGCTTGGCTGGTGTCGAACCACCCGCAATCGATGCGGTTGACGGAGCCGTCAGTGCGCGATAGCCACCCGAGCGCAAACCCGAACCCGCTGCGGCCGTGCACCGGCCCGACGGACGGGTCGCAAGCGAGCAGGTACGCGCAGTTAGAGGTGGCGGAGGAGAGGCCAAACGTAGATGGCGGCGGCGGCAGCGGCGGCGGCGGCAGGGCGGAGGAGGCGGAGGAAGAGGCGGCGGAGGAGACGGAGGAGACGATCCCCATGATGTCCCGGCGGACCGTGTCGGCCACGCCCTCAGCCCCCCACAGCTTGTCGTACTCCTCGTCGTACTTCTCCCCCTCCGCTTGGATCTTGCTGTAGTGTCCGTCGGACGTCAGGCGTGCCTGCACCGTCTCGATCGCCTCCTTGAGGTTCCTCACCTCGCACCCAGCCGTGCGAGCAACTACGCGAAGGATGCTCCGCACGTTCCGCCTCGCCGTGCGGATTCGGGATGCCATGCGCGTCGCGGGGTCGTCTGTACCCAGCACAACATCTTTTGGCTTCAGGTAGCCAAACACCCCCGCAAGCTTGACGGCTCCCCCCCACCCCTTGTGCTCGCGGTCCAGCTCGAGCACAAAGTTGATCCAGTCGGAGACCAAGCGAGCGACGCCATTGGGGCCGTGGTAGCTGCTTGTGGAAAGGCACCGCTCCGCGTCCTCGATCTTTTTGCGGAGGTAGACCTGCTCTCCGCCAGCCGACCCGCCATCGCCGCCGCCTCCGTCAGGCGAGTCAATCTCCATAGGTAGACCCTCTCCACCCCGCGCGAGCGACTCGAGAGACTCGTCCGCCAGCAAGCCGCCGCCGTCGCTGCTGCCCCCCCCAGGGGGGGTCCACGGGACGATCTGTCTTCCCGCCGCCGGCGCCGCTGCCTCGAGCTCACGCACACGCGCCCACGCAGCCGCCACCTCCGCCTCTGCTGCCAAGGCTCGGCGCTGCATCTCAGCAAAACGAGCGTCACTGCTGCTGGCACCACCCCCAGACTGCCGGCACTCCTCGGGCGACGGGGTCCGCGGGCGCTTGAGGATCTCTTTGCGCCCGGCGTACGAGGTGGCCGTGGCGGGTGGGCGTGAGGCGGGTTGGCGTGACGGCTGCAGCTTACCCATGCCGTTGAGCTCGTTGGCAGAGAAGCCGTGCGCGCTAGCAGGCTGGGCCTCGTCTGGGTCGAAGGATGCCTCGCGAAGCTGGTCTGCTAGCGCGTGCGCTGGCGACTCTATGCCGTCGTCGCCACATCGCCGATCGAGACTGAGCCCTCTGCCAACGCAGAGGGTGTAGGCATTCACGTGCGCCTGGAAGGTGCCGCGCGCACACCGATCTAATGGCCGGCGGCGTCTGCACATGGGCGCGAGGGCGAGGGCGAGGGCGAGCTCATTCACAAACTCCGGTGTGATCTGCGGCGGGGCGGACTCGAGCTCGCTCCGCAGAAACTCGATGTCATCTTTGCTGCACTGCAAGCCGGTGGCGACGCAGTCGCGCACGTGCTTTGCCGCGAGGTCGAGGGCGTCCTCGATCGTGAGTCCCTCGCAGCCGGAGACGGAGGAGACCTCGGACGCATTGACGATCGCCTCAACGTCCTTGGCGGTGTACTCGTCCTTTTGCTCCTGCTTCTGCGCCATCTGCTGCATCTGCTGCTGCTGCTGCGCATTCTGCTGCTTCAGCTCCCCGACGAGGCACTGCATCTCGAGGTGGCGGCGATCCTGCTCCTGCTCACGGTACCACTCGTTCTCCGGGAGGAGGGCGCGGTCGCCCTCGCCCGACTCAATGTCCTCCGCCTCCCAGATCTTCTCCTCGAGCCTCTTGTAGGGGTCCGTGCCGATGAGCGGCTCCACGAGCGTGTTCAGCGCCGGGATCCACAGCCGCGCCGGCGCCGAGTCCATCGCGATCATGCCGTCCTTTCTGCGGCCGCGGGCTGCGCTCGCGACAATGAGCATGGTGAGGCAGATGTCGAGATTGTCCAAGTCGCGCAGGACGCCGGTCGCAATCTCGACCTTGTCCACAGCCGCAGCGCTGTCGCGGCATACGGACTCGGCCTCGGTCCGCACGGTCAAAAGCTCCTGGTTGAGATCCCACGCGCGCCAGAGCGTGTTGCGCATCTTGGCCGCGTCCTCGACCATGCTCTCGGACCGGACATCTAAGTTCCGGTCGCCGGGCAAGTACATGCCAATCACGGCGTGGTGGGCGCACTGCCGCTCCGTCATGTCGCCCGAGTTGTAGCCCCCCGTCCCCATGAGAGTTGATGCGTGGGTCGTGTACGAGCCGGTGTGCTGGTTGCGCGAGTCGTGCCCCACACGCGCCTTGCCCTCCTCGATGCCGACGGTCCGGTCCTGCGACGTCACCTTGTGCACGACGTCTCGAAGCCCCTTGTAGTTCAGACTCTTCTGAACTCCCGGGTCGATGGGCGGGTCAGCCTTGCTCGCCGCGTCCTTCAAGTCCTCCGGATTCAGCTTGCCGAAGCGCGTGACCTCCGAGTGCTGGGAGACCATGGGCAGAAAACAGCCGACGCCGCTCACGACCTTCTCGCTCTTGATGCGGTCCTCGTCCTCCGTCTCCGCCTTCTCGTGCTTCATCCAGTTGGTCATGTTGGGGAGATTGATCTGCCTCGTAGAGAGGAGGTAGAAGCGACGGAGCGAGATGGCGACAAACGGGCAGAAGAAGACGTTCTTGTGCGGAATGAACTCGCGCAGGCTCTCGACCTTGTCCATCTTGCGGAGCGTGTTCACGCGCCCCACCCAGGGGGAACGCTTGTTGGAGAGGTACCAGAACGGACGCCCCCCTGCGTCGAGCTGAAAGATCTCAAAAGAACCCCACGACGCATCCTCGACGTTCATGTTGCGCAGCCCAAACGCGAGCATGAGCGTGACGCCCGCCGCGAGGTTGAGGCCCTTGAACAGCGCCGGGCCGCTCATGTTGTACATCACAAGGAGCACGCTGAAGACCGTGCCAATGTCGACGAGCGTCGACGAGCGGTTACTGCCAAAGGGGTTGCCGGCCTGGACGTGGTTGCGCTTGGTCTGCTCGCGGATGTACGCGTAGAGCTCCGCCCTCGGCGTGATGCTGGAGAAGTACGTCTGGTCCGGCTGGAGCTGCTTGAAGTGGTCGGTGAGAGTGCGCCGCAGGAAGCTGGGAGGGCGGGAGGGGGGGGGGGTGAGAGGGTGCGCGGCGTTGCAGGATTACAGGATTGTACTCACGTGTCGACAGCCTTGACATGTCCGTCTTTGATCTCGACCTTCTCGTGGTCGATCTTCTTGTTGTCGAAGAACTTCTGGTAGACGTCGTCCTTGAGGTAGTCGCGGAGGATCGGGTCGTACCAGCCGCTGCTGCACCCGTTCAACACGTTGATCTTGAGGTAATCAACCGCGGCGGCGGCGTCGGCGACGCCGAGGTGCGCGGCCATGTACTTCCCGCCAGTTTTGATGAGAGTTTTCGTGGAATCGGAGTTGCCCTGTTGGTGGAGGAGAGGTGGCAAGGGAGGCTGTGAGCGAGTGGTGCGAGAGGAGGGGGGGGATCTGTGGAGAGGGAGGGAGGAAGAGTCGCGTGCGCTGCGCTGCGCGCGCTGTATGCGCGCGCCGCGTGTGTCATGGTGGGAGCTTGTCTCCACGTGTCGGGGGGGAGCTGACGAGCCAGCGCCGGCGGCGGGAGCGCTGGGCAGGGAGAACGTCGCTGGAGAGATTGTGTGATCGGGGCGGCGAGCGAGCATTGGCGGGCGTCTGGACTCGGGCATCGGCGCCCGCCGCACACAGAAAAGAAAGGCGCGGCGACGAGGCGTGGTGGGTGAGAGGGCTGGTCGTAGTGAGGGGAGGGGGGTAAACGAGTCACGCACCATCATGGTTGGTGGCGAGGAGCGGCGGCGGAGAGTGGCTCGGTGGTTACGCGCGCTTGGCGCCGGCCGTGTGTGAGTCTCGTGTGAGTCTGGACCCCACGACTTGACGGTCCTCTTCCCAGCTCCGCTGAGGCCGCACGTTATCTTCTCTTGCGGATGGCGTCCGCGGCGGCAAAGCTCGCTGAGCTTGCGCTCCACACCGCAGAGCAGTCGGAGGAGGAGCTGCTGCTCTCACAGGAGCGGCTAGATGACATGCGCATATCGCGCGGCGCGTACGTTGAGGTACGCGCTGTAAGCGACGCAGGCATCTCGCCGCCGGCCGGCTCACCCTCTGGCAGCGCGTCTCCATCGTCGTCGTCGCCGACGGGTCCGGCGACGGCCGCGGCGACTGGCGGCGCCGAGGATCGCGGCGCTCTCGTTTTACGCGTCGGCTCTGCGGCGCCCGGCAAGGGCTCCCAGGGCGTCTCGCTCCTCGCGGCAACGGCGTCGCTCTTTGGCCTCTCTTCGCGGCAGAGTGTCGAGGTCATTGTGGTGCCGGCGGCGGCGGCGGAGCTCGAGTGGGTCGAGATGGTGTTTCGCGACCAGTATCTCTCGCGCGGCGACATCTGGTGCGTGGCGGCGGCGTTGTGGCTGCCGCCCGGCGGTGTGGCGATGATGTGCCTCGCGCGTCTCCTCTGCCAGGTACTGGATGCAGCAGCTGCGCGCGTCCAGCCCGAACGTCTACCTGCGCAAGGTCTTTGGCCACGCTGGCGCGCGCGTCGAGGTATCAGGTCCGCCGCTGCTTGCGCGTTCCTCCGGCCAGCACCTCGCTTCGGCCGGCGCATCCACCTCCGCCACCTCTGGCAGGCATGGCGCGGGACTCGGACATGGTCAGCTGCGGCTGCCTCGGCCCGAGCACGCGCGTGTCCTTCCGCTCGCAATCCGCCTCCGTCTTCCTCCTCCTCCAGGTCTCGCAGGAGCTCTGGGAGACCCACACACCCACCGGCGAGCTCTACCTCGACCGCGCCCTCGCCTTCCTCGCAACCATGTTCGAGCGCTGGCGCGCAGTCGGCGTCTCTCACAACCTCTCGCTCGTCCTCTTCGCGCGCTGCTTCGCGCCCGTCCCGGACCCGCACGCCGAAGCCCACACCACCGAGCGCGACGACCCCGCCCACTCCCCGCCTCCGCATCACGCCCTCCCGGGAAGCGAGCCAAGGCCGGCACGCGCCGCCGCCTCGCCCGCCGCCTCGACCGCACCCATCGCCTTTGCCGCCGCCTCACCGCCGGTCGGGCCGGACTTTCTCGGCGGCGCGCGCGCTGCGGCGAGCTCGGACGCGGGCCTCGGTGCGGGGAGCGGCGCGGCTGGCGGCGCCGCCTCGACTGCGCGGGCGGGCCGGCGCGACGCAGGCCTGACGCTCGACCACCTTCCACGAGCCTTCCACGAGCCTTCCTCGAGCCTTCCTCGAGCCTTCCTCGAAGCTGCTAGGCCTGATGCTCGACTGCGCGGGCCGGCCACACACGGACTTTTACAAGCTGATCGTCGAGTCGGAGTCGCGGCAGGAGTGGATGAGCCTGCTCGGCGGCCTGCGCGCCGAGGTCGGCCGCTTCCGCCAGGCGGTGCGGCGGAGGGAGGTGATGACTGCACCGGCCGGCGGCGGAGGCCGCGCCGAAGGCGGAGGCCGCGCCGAAGGCGGCGGCGCGGGCGGCGGCGGCGGGCTGTCGTCTGCCGCCGAGGGTAACCTGCTCGAGGCGATCAACCTCGCCCTGGACGTGCTCGAGCCGTCGCACGAGGAGCTCGACCTCGCCTCGACCGGCAAGAGCCTGCTCGTGCTCACCGGCGGCGCCGGCGTCTTCACGGTCGACCAGGCGCTCGATGAGTCAGCATTGTGAGCATGAGATGCTGGTACTACTTCTGCTACTGCTCTCACCTCGCCCGTCGCAGGCGCTCGCCGCCATCTCGAAGCAGCGGATGGCCTACAACGGCATCGGGTGTGACCTCGTCTGCGCGGGCTCGCCGCCTCTGCACACCGTCCCGATCTTCTCCTACGTCCGGCCGCGACCGCCTCCCGCCCCCGCCCCCGCCTCCCCTCCCGCTCTCGCCGCCGCGCCCTTTGCCTTTTCTCCCTCCGCCCCTGGCTGCCGCCACGCAGCGTCGCCACCGACGGGCCCGGCTCTGCCTCCGTCGGTGGCGTCGGCGGGCAGGGTCGGAGGGGCGGGCGGGGCGGCGAGCGGGTCGGCGGGCGGCTCCTTCGGCGGCCTCGGCGGCTGCACACCCCCGGCGGTCGAGGCGGGCGCGAGCTTTGTCAGCGCCGCGACGAGCAGAGACACGGCCGTCGGCGGGGGGGAGGGCGCGTCGTACGTGGTGCCGCACTGGATCCTCATCTCGTACACGGACCCGCCCCCGCACCCGCGCCTCGACCTGCCCTCGGCGAGGGTCACACCGGCGCCGCCGCGCGACGAGGGCGAGCCCGTCTTCCCGATTGGCTTGCCGCCGCTGCCCTCCCTCCCCGGCCTCGGCGGCGGCGGCGGCGGCGGCGGCGAGCCTCCCCACGCTGCGGCGGCGGCGGCGGCGGCGGCCTTCGACTCCGGCGCGTGGGAGCGGGAGGGCGCCGTGTCGGAGCGGTCCGACGACCTCTTCTTTGGCGGGCTGGTCGACGAGGCGGCCTTGGCGCACCACGGCGGCCGCCGCGCCGCCGCCGCGGCGGGGAGGACGCTCCCGCTGCGCGACTGGTCCTCGCCGCACGGCAGCCTCGCCGCGCAGCACGGCGGCGCGCAGCTCGGCGCGTCGCTGCCTGCGCCGGGCTGCTGGGGCCGGCACGGGGAGCCGCCGGGCGAGCTCGACCCGGCGGACGAGCACGCGCACCCTTGCTCCTCCCTCTCCTCGTCGCCAGAGTCGGAGCCGGGCTGGGCGGGCTCGTGGCAGATCCCGCCCCGCAGGCGCGGCTGCAGCGGCGGCGGCGGCGCGGGCACGGCGGGCACCTCGCCGCCCAGCCCGCCCTTCCCGTCGGTCGGCTCCTCCTCCGCCGCCGGCTCCTTCGCCGACCCGTCGCAGATGGGGCTCAGCTTGCCGGGGCTCAGCCTGCCCCTCCCGCACCGCACGACGCTGCGCCCAAACGAGGCGGACTTCGCGGGCGGCGGCGGCGGCGGCGCGGGTGGCGGCGGGCTCGGTGGCGGCCTGGCGCGAGGAGGGGCCTCGCTCGGCCGGCTGCCGGTTGCCGACGCGGCGCCAATCGAGGGCGGCGCCCTCTCCTCGGCCGGCGGGCCAGGGGAGCGCGGCATGGCGGCCGGCGCGTGGTCGCAGCTGGTGCCGCACTCGCGGCCGATGAACCCCTTCTCGCTCCGCTTCCCCGCCTCGGCCTCGGAGCTGAAGCGGCTCTCGGAGACGTCGTACGCGCGCCGCCGCTGGCTGCACGTCCGCTCCTCCAACAAGGCGTACTTCACGGGCACCGCCAGCGTGGGCATGCTGCGGCAGCTGCCCGCGGCGGTCGCGCCGACGAGGCTCCGCCGGTGGCAGCCCCACCTCGAGCACCAGTGGGCGTCGCTGACCGCGCCGGCGGTGCTCCCGCTCACGATGGACTGCACCGCCGAGCAGCTCCAGCTCATGCGGAAGCAGCAGGCGGCGGCGGCGGGCGGCGGGCTGTGGAACGTCGCGGTGCCGGCGCAGGGCGAGGTGGAGGGCACCATCCCGTACAAGACCGTCATGTCGGCCGAGGAGATCCTGCACGAGATGGTGTGCCAGCGGCTGGAGCAGGACTTCCAGCTGCTGCGAGCAACCACCTCCGCCGGAGCGCCGACGCGGACCTCGCTCTCGCTGCGGCACGAGACGACCTACTTCCTCGCGCTCGGCGCGCAGGTGCAGCAGATCCACTTTGTGCGCGAGCACCAGCCCTCGCACCTGCCGCCGAAGCAGATGCGCACGGGCAGGCCCGCCGCCGCCGCCGCCGCCGCCGCCGCCGCCGCCGCCGCCGCCGCAAAGGCGACGGCGGACTTCTCCGAGATCAAGGTGACGCGGCACTACATCCAGCCGCTGCCAACGCTCAAGTCGCCGACGATTGGGCGCGCGGAGCGGCCGGGTGCGGGCGGCTGCCGCCAGACCGGCGCCGCCCCACGGCTCGCGCGGGTTGCCATTTAGGTACCACTACCTCGTCTGGGCGCCAAACTCGAGTGGCTTCCAGCACCTCTTCACGCAGATCAAGCCGACCGCGCACCACGCCTTCCCGTGGAACCGGATCGACAACACCGTCTGCGGCTGGTCGCCGCCCTCCGATCTCGACCTGCGCGACATGCGGCTGCGCTGCAAGCGGTTCGCGCTGCTCGACTTTGAGAAGCGGCAGGAGGGGTCGCTGTTGCGCCTGCTCTCCGCGCCGCCCGGCACGCAGCGCCTGCTCGGCGCGGCGATGAGCGCGACGATGGAGAAGAAGCCGTCCGTGCGGGGGGTGGGGCCGCCGGTGGCGGACGAAGCGCCCGCCTCGCCGGCGGGGCTCGGAGGCGGCGAGGCGGGGGCCGCGGTGGGGGTGGGGGCGGCGGGCGGCGGGAGCGCCGGCGGCGCGGCTGGCGGCAGCGGCGGCGATGGCGCGTGGGAGGTGTTCGAGCGGCCCGACGGGTGGCTGCCCCGCCCGACGCTCAGCCGCGACCGGTTCGAGCGTTTCGTGCAGCTCGTCTCGAGCCGGATGCCCCTCTCGGTGGCGTGGGAGGAGGGGGGCGGTGCGGGGCAGGGCGGGGTGGGCGACGCGGCCGATGCTCCCACGCCGCGCCAGCCGCAGTCGGCGGGCGGGGGCGACCGGCCGGTGGGCGGCGGCAACGGTGGCAGGAGCGGGGGCGCCGGCTCGGGCCGACGGGCCTCGTTCCTCGACTGCACCACCGTGGTGGACATGACGGCGCCTCCGTCGGCGTCGGGCCGCACGTCGCGCCGCATGTTTATGCAGCTCGTCTACGACTCGAGCGCGTCTGCGACGCAGGTGTGGCACCTCGAGCTGCGGTGGCTCATGTGCCAGGGGCAGCAGGTGGAGGAGATTGTCAAGCACTGCACGCGGCGCGCCAGGCAGGCGGGCCTGCTGCTGCTGCAGATCCCGACCGACCGGCGGCCCCGCCCCTTCACCCCGCGGGCGCTCATCGTCGTGCCCGAGTCGCTGCGGAAGCGCGCCGCCGAGGCGCTCTGCGAGGAGATCGGTTTTGTCAACGAGTACGCGCGCGAGGGGCCGGAGCGGAGGTGGATGCACGAGCTGGGCGTCGCGTTCGTGCGGCCGAATGTGCGCGGTTTCTCCTGGCTCGCCAACCGGCTGCTGCCGTCGCAGGCGGCGCGCGCCCACTCCGAGAAGCTCCTCGCCCGCTTCCGCACGGTCTGCAAGGCGCTCGAGTTTGCCGAGCTCGCGCTGCTCGAGCCGCCGCCGCCGCCCGCTGCCGTCCCGCCCGCGGGCGCGGCCACGCCACGGCCCGCAACACCCCCTGGCGGTGACTCGGACGGCGCCAGTAGACATTGACTCTTCGGATCACTGTCTCTTCGATCGGACCGACCACACACACACACAGCCCTGTGGTTCAAGGTATTTTGTGCTACGTAGCCGTCTGGCGTCTCCCATGTTTGCCCTCGGGCGTCCTCAGTCCCGCCGTCCTCCCGTCGTAGTCGCGGTCTCTCACCCACTCTCGCCTTCACGCTCGACCCTGTCGCTGGGTTCGCTTCGGGCTCCTACCCGGATATAGGGGGTCTTGTTGTGACAGAGAGACACGCGGCGCCCCGGGGGGCAGAAAAGGCGCATCATGGCCGCAATCTCTCGCACGTCGCACTCGCAGAGGTGTCACCCCACGGAGCTCGGAGAGGAGAGGGTTATTGGACAAACGACTCGGGGTGACTTGGGGCGATATTGGAGCCGCGAGTGGAGCTCGCACCGGAGCACCCCCAGGCTCACTGCTCAACGGCGGCGCCGGCGAACACAGCCCGGCGCCTTGGCAGAGGGCTTGCACAACCCCCCCCCCCCCCCAGCATTCAAGGTGCCAAGGGCACAAACAACAGCAGAAAGGTAGGTAGGTAGTAAGGTGAAGAACAGCCAGGCTCGGACTGGACACCAACGCGGTATGGGTGGACGCTAGACAGATGATGACGACACGCACGAGCGACACACAGACACAAACAAGCTCACAAGACACACAGCCAGCTGGCTGCCACACAGCAGAAACAACACAGCGAAAAAGAAAAATTCCCCTTGTCCACCACGCCCTCGGCGCCGCCCTCAGCGCCATGTCACAGATCGAGCGCCGTCCCAACAACGATGGCTCCATCAGCGTGGCCCGGCTCCTGCCACGGCCCGGCCCAAAAATGTTTGGCGTCGCGATCTGGTGGGTCTTCGGGCTGTGGGTGCGCCACGCCACGCCACACGTGTCCGGTCTGCAACGCTCACGTCACGACTTTGCCACGCCATGCCACGCTCACGTCACGCTTTGCCTGCCGCCGCACAGGCGCTCCACTTCGCGTCTGCGCCCTACACGCCGACAGCAGTCGAGGAGCAGAGGTATCACGACCTCATGCAGGAGGCGCGGTACTCGATCGAGGCGCGCGAGGAGGAGGGCCAGGCGCGGGCGCGGCTGATGCACGCGCAGGCGGGCCTCGACCAAGTCAACGTCTTTTTCTGGCGCTTCCGCGAGCCGTACTCGACCCTCGTGCCGCAGCGGCAGGCGGAGGTCGACCGCGAGATGGCGGCGTACCGGGCCTTGTCGCGCGAGCGGGAGGCGCTCGTCTCCGAGGCAAAGGCGTCGGTCGGGATCTGGAGCAGGTACGGCGTTCAAGAGGTGCGCGAGACGTTCTGGGGCGACTACGAGTGGGGCAAGGACCTCGCGAAGCGGATGAGCTTCTGGGACGTCGTCTTCGGCGTCGGGCGGGGGCGCGACGAGGAGCTGGCCGTGGTGCTGCTGCGCTGGGTGGGGCAGATCCTGATGAACTTCACGGTCGGCTTCGTCTCGGCGCTTGTCGCCTTCCTCTTCTCACTCGTCAAGGTGCTGTGGGCCTACAAGACGGGGCTGCTCTCCGGCGCCCTCTTCTTCTTCATCGCGGCCACGGGCGCCTCGGCGATGGTTGCGCTTGTCGTGGGCGGCATGTACACAACCGCCGTCGGGGGTGTGCCCTCTCCCTCCGCACCGCGCGCTCCTTCTCTCTCGTGGCCGCGTCTCTCTGTCTCCTAGCACCCGCGGGACGCCTAACCCGGCACCTGTTCTCCTCCTGCCAGGCGTTTACCTCGTGGCGCAAAACGCGGCGCAGGCGCGGCTGCAAGGTGGGCGCCGCCGCCCGCAGTACGTGCACAACCGCCGGTACGAGCACGTCGACTAGAAAAGGACACAATTCCGGGCTGCCTCTGCGGCTGCTCCCGGGCCGCGCGAGTTTTTGTAAACCTTCAATTTTAGATTTGATCGAAACGGCGGCGGCACAGGGGCCCCGACGCCGACCACTGTGATCCACTCCCCCGCGCCGGCCCGCGACCCCGCCGAACGCGAACCAGACGCCCGCGAGAAGCTGAGCCCTGGTCTGACAGCCTGACAGCAAACCCCGGACAGCGCCTGACAGTGGGCCCGACAGCCTGACAGCGCTGACAGCACTTTCTCTGACAGTCTGACAGCACGTATCTGACAGCCTGACAGCAGAGTCTGACAGTCGAGGTGCTCCGTCGCTGTCAGGCCCTAACGTGACAGCCTGACAGCTGCCCGACAGCCCGACAGCACACAGTGGCCTGACAGCAGCGCTGACAGCCCGACAGCAGCACAGACCGTACACAGTCAGACCCCGTAGAGCCTCTTTCTTTGTGCCCCATGAGGGTATAACAAAACTGTTACATGCAAAGACATGTGAGTGTGGTCCATGTAGTCATGGGATGGTCATGGGTCTCTCTCTCAACCCTCCCGTCCCACACCTCTGCGCGTCTGCGGGGACCCCTCTCTAGCACCGGCGGCTGTGCTACTACAAATGAAGCTACCAGCTAGCCTTCTGGGGCCCTACAGTCATATGCCTACGGCGTCTGGGTGGGGGTGGCCGCCGCCGTCTGTGCCGCCGCCGCCGCGTGCGCCTGCGCCGCCATATGCGCTCCCCAGGCGGCCGCCGCCGCCGGCGTGATCACGCCGTGAAGGAGGAGAGGCTGAGAGTATGTGTAGTAGAGTCCTGCTGGTCTCCTCTTGATAGTGTCATAAGTGTGGCTGGTGTGTGTCAGAGCCTGACAGCACCCCGACAGCACCACCTGACAGCACCTGACAGCAACAGCCCAACGTCTGACAGCAGCAGCAGCCTGACAGCTCTGACAGCTCCGACAGCGTCTGACAGCAACACCCGACAGCTCCGACAGCACCCGACAGCCACAGAGCACCTCGACTGTCAGACACGCACCCGACATCACCCGACAGCACTGACAGCACCTGACAGCTGGTCTGACAGAGGCACCTGACAATGCCTGACAGCTGCCCGACAGCCCGACAGATCACCTGACAGCACCTGACAGAGCCTGACAGCCAGGGCGCTCAGACGAGAGAAGGGTCAGGGCGCCCTCAGAGTCCGGGTACAAGAGTCTTTTTCGACACATTTGCTGTCCTTCATCTCCTCTCTGACTCCTCTGTCCTCTCCGCCGTGTCTGTGATTTTTGGATTTAGCCTCGCGCGCGGCCCCGCGAGCTCTCCAGGAGCTCTTCTCGCCACACACGCCACTTGTACTTGTGGACTGTGCCACTTTTTCGGCAGCCCGGGCTGACAGCAGGCGCTGGACAGACGGCAGCGGGCGCATCTCCCACAACTCACCCCCACTGGCGCTCTAGCCAGGAGTGAGGAGAGGGCTGTTCATCAAAATCGGAGCGGTTCTGGAGCGCCTCCGCCTCCGCCTCCGCCTCCGCCCCCGCCCCCGCCGCCCACACCGCCCACACCGCCCGCGGCATCGCGCTGCTGCAGTTGAGCACAGCGTCGCTGAAAGCAGCTGAGGTACTCGCCCACCACGCGGTCCTGCAGAGTGTCCCACATCAGGACATGCTCGACATTCTTCAGCTCAAAGTCGAGCCGCAGGTCGATGCGTGCCCGGTTCGGGCCGATGGGCGCAAACTCCCATGTGAAATTCAACGAGTCCAGAAACTCGTTGGGTTCGGAGACGGAGTGGACGCGCCGGTCGCGCAGCAGCGTCACCGTCGAGCCGAAGCGCGCGGCGAGGCCCATGTAACCCACCTCGACCTCTGTTAGGAGCTCCTCGGAAGCACCCGGCTCAGCAGCATGGGCGCCAGGCTCAGGCCCGCCCGGCCCGTCAGCCTGCCGCCTTTCGAGCACGCGAGACGCGGTACACCACGGAAGGAAGTCGGCGTACCGAGCAACGTCGGAGACGGCACCGTAGATGGTCGGGACGGGGAACTGCACAACTTTCTGCTGCTCGAACGTGCGGTACTTTTGTCCCTTGGCGCTGAGACCTGGCAGGAACAAGCTTCGGCTGTGGATGCGAGCCGCCGGCAGTCTGGCGCCAATGCTCCTCACGCGCGCAGGCATTATCGCCCTTGGGGTGAGGCAGCCGAGGCGGAACGCCCAGGCACACCACAGTGAAAGTTTCTCCTGGGCGCGAAAGAATTTTGTGCCGCCGCCTATCTCCTGATCGTCCTTACAAAATCCTGCTCGTGCAGGTGGGGACCCTGTCCTCCTCCCCTACCCCTCGTTTGGCCGTCTGTTTCTTTCTTTCTTTCTTTGATCGTCCTTATCTCTCCTTAAAATCCCTGTCTGTGTGGTGGCGGCGTGCCGTCCTCCCATCCCTCCCTTGGCTTGTTTGTTTTCTTTCTTTCTTTCTTTCTGATCGTCCTTAAGAGAGGGGAGCTCGCAGGAGAGGTGACGAGTGAACTACAGGTAGTGGGGAAGGCAGCTTCGATCGCCATTACAGACATGGGTGCGAAACAACGACAAGACCAACGCACGGGCGGGGCGGAGGAGGAGACAAGAATATAGCTATAAGGTGGATAAAGCGCCTGTTCACGGCATGGAGGGTGAGCCACGTTGAACGTACTGAACGTAGAGCCGAACGGGAGGAAGCCGGGGAGGAAGACTCCGAGGAGGATGGAACACCTGTGGTAATCCCGTCGGCAGCTGTCACGATACAACCCGAAGGGGACCCCAGCGCCAACATCATCTGTGGAGGTACAAGTGTTCGAAGAGAGAGTGGACCTGAGCAACGATATGACTTGGCGGCAAATGATCGGAGTGGGCGTCAGAAGAGTCGTCCTTGCGCGAGGAGAGCTCGATAAACTCGAGGGGCCAAAATATGCCGCGAGGAGGGCAGAGCTGCGACGAAAGGCGAGAGAAGAAGCGAGAACACGGGAGCGGCAGGCGGCGGCGCCGTCGCAGAACGAGGCAGAGGAGAGCGACGCGACAGAGGAAGAAGCGACAAGAGAGAGAACGACGAGTGGGACGACCGCGAGGTGGCATGAAGGTTGCAGCGAGAATCGGCGAGGGACTGCGAAGAGAGATAGGTAGGGGCCTAGGGGCAGACGCCCAAGGGTGGGCGACGGCTAGCGCATCACACCCCTCTCCTTAAAATCCCTGTGTGGTGGCGGCGTGCCGTCCTCCATCCCTCCCTTGGGTTGTCTGTTTTCTTTCTTTCTTTCTGATCGTCCTTCCAAAATCCTGCTCGTGCAGGTGGACCCTGTCCTCCTCCCCCATCCGTCGGCTGGGTTGTCTGTGTTCTTTCTTTCTTTCTCTCCTGGAGATGCCTGCTCTATTTATTTATTGGGCACGGGACTGGCGCGCACTGTGTGCGCGAAAATAATTTTGCCGTTTGCTGGGCACTGTTGCATGATTTCTTTCTTTCTTAACAACTGGGCACGGGACTGGAGAATTTTGAAAACCAACAAGAATTTTACAACAAAACTCCCTCGCACAACACTGGGCACGGGACTGGCGCGCACTGGCACTAACACAGGTACACCAACAAGAAATCACGACTCTCACAGTGATTCTCTTCTCTTCGGGACTGGCGCACTGGCACTAACAAAGAAAGAAAGAAACTCCACGTGCTCCAAACTCTCACAACACCAGGCACGGGACTGGCGCGCGAAAAGTAATATATCTTTACTTCCAAAACCCGGACGTGCCTCCACCGGCACGCCGCTTCCGACAGGGTGATGGAAGGTTCGACGCACCCCCGGACTGGGCAGAGAGGTCCCAACGTAAAGACGATGGGCTGTCCACCCCGCCCCCACTTGCCCTGACTACACAGGATAGCGTGCCCCGACAAACGGCGACACATAGCGGGGGACACTGCGCCGGGGGGTATGCCTAACTTTGGTGCTTTGTGTGGGTCGCGTTCCCATGGTAGCTGTGTGGCTGAAGCCCTCGTGCCGCTGGCTTGCCCCTTCCAGCGGCTGGCCCCTCGAGACTGTCGGTGCTTGGCGGGAGGAGGGGGAGAGGGAGGCCCGGTGGGAGGAGAGGGAGAGGGAGGCCCGGTGGGAGGGGAGGGAGAGGGAGGCCGTCTTGGGCTCTTCTCCTCCCCCCTCCCTGGGCTCTTCTCCTCTCCCCACCCTGGGCTCTTCTCCCCTCCTCCCTGGTACTCTCGGCCTGATTACCGGAGCGACTGCCAGAGCAGACGCTGGGGGGACACTCGCGCCCGGAGGCGGTACGCACGACCCGGAGGCGTGGGGATGGGGGGGGGCCGCGCCGCCGCCGCCGTGCCGCCTTCTCCCGCTTTGACCTCCCCCAGCTGCTTCTCCTCAAATCAACCTGTGAGCTTGCGAGGCGGCGGGGGTGGGAGTGCTCTCGGGCGGCGTGTGCGAGCGCGCGCGGCGCGAGATCTTTTTCGCGAGGGCACGGTGGGTCGGGTGAGTATCTCGCGCGCTCGCACTATTTTACGTTATATCAAGCACTGCCTTTGATGCCTTTGCAAGAACCGCCAGCCGGCGGTGGTCGAACCGGTTCGCGGTTCGAGCCGGGACCTTTTGGCTCCCGGTTCGGAACTCGCTTGGAGGGTTGCTTCGCTCTCGCGGAGCGAGCGCGGGCGCGTGGGTGCGTGTGCGCATGCGCTGCTGCAAGGCGAGGCGAGGCGCGGGGCGGCGCGGCGCGGCGAGGCGGGCGGCGGCGGCGCGCGGTCGTTCTTTTTGCCCGGGTGAGGCGTGGCTTGCGCGCCGCGCGGTGATGACGCAGCACGCTGAAAAGTCCTTGGTGAGCCACCGCGGTGGCGGCGAGCCAAAGCAAGCCACCTGCCGCATGACGGGTTGACCGACGGCGTCTCCGGGACTGGCGCGCGAAAAAGAAATTTACCAACGAACTCTCTCACACAACACAGCTCACAGGACTGGCGCGCACTAGCACTAACACAGGTACACCAAAAGAATTCCGGCGCTGGACGGCGCGCACCCACAACGCAAAGGGGTCACCAAAAAGAAATTCACGAATCAAACCCATGCCCAGTGCCGTGTCGCGCGCGATGCGCCCCCGGCTCCCGTCTCTTCTTCTTCCCCTGTGCCTGGCCCCTGATCGTCCTTCCAAGATCCTGCTTGTGCAGGTGGGGGCCCTGTGTCCTTCTGAGCTTCTCCCATCCCTCCTTTGACGTTTGGCGTGTGGCCCCGCCTAGGAGCACTTGTGGTGCACTAGGAGTGCAGTTGGTAACCGTTACACCCAGGGCCGGGGAGCTAAGAAGCACTCAGCGGGCCGGATGATTGGCATCGGGCTACGGGCGCAAGAGAGCCCTGACCCCTAGGGGGGTGCGCGGTCGCAGGGAAGGGGCCGTAAAGTAAACACGGGTCTCCGAGGGTTGGTTCTGCGCTTACCTTTGGGTGTCCCCTAGCGGCGGAACGCCCCCTCTACTCGGAGCTCTAATAGACACCAGACACGAACACGACGCGACACCCGTGACCCGACATCCGCCGCTCAGGACCCATCCGCCCGGTCTCCCCACCCCTGCGATCCGAGGGGGCTCCCTTCTCCCCCCGGTCCTCCCTCCTGTTCGCTTTCCGGTGGTCAGGCGACGGCTGCGGAGCCCGAGCTTCCCGCCCTCTTATGGGTTAAATGCGTCTCCTCGGCCGCGGCCCCGCCGCCGTCTCGCCTTCCTCTGCCCGTAACACGGTGTCAGCTGTCACGAGGCTGCCTGATCCTTTCATAAAGCCGTATTTCATTTTCGTTCGTTAATCCGGCGCGAATAAGAATTTCCGACGATGGTTGCGTTTGGCTCGCGTTGTCTGTTTTCGTTCTTTTCTATCTTTACGCCCGCGGTGACCCACCAGAGCTACCAGAGCGACCCCTTTCGCTTTGGCTTGCTGCCGCCACCGCCCTTCTCCGCCGCCGCGTCGAGCGCCTCCTTGCTCTCGCGCAGCCGCTCCTCCAGGTCGATGATCTTCTTCTCCTGCATCTGCATCACCTCGCGGAAGGCGCCCGCGATGCCCTCCTCCGTCTCGGCGGACGTGTTTTCGCGCTCTGCGAGCTGCACCTCCAGCTCGGTCATGCGAAGGGCGAGCTGGCGGTTCTTCGCCGTCTGGTGCCGGAGCTTGTGCACCGTCTCCTCGAGCAGCACGCTCTCCTGCGCGCGCTCGAGCTTGACCTGCGGCCGCACGGCGCAGGTGGGGGCGCAGGCGCCGCCGGCAGGGAGGGTGGGGCGGGGCGGCCCGCACCTGCACGAGCTCCTCGGTGCGCTTTGCGATGTCGGCGCACAGCGTCGCCCGCACCTCGTCCGCCATCTCGAGCTGGTCCTGCAGCTCCTGCAGCCCCGCCGGCTGGATCTGCTCGCGGCGCGCGGCGCGCTCCTGCAGCTCCTCGAGCTCGCGCCGCGCCTCCTGCAGCTCCGCTTGCAGCGCGACGTACGCCTGCGGGCGCGTCTCAGACGCGTCACCCACATGTCCAGGACAGGCGCGCGGGGATCGCCCTGCAGCGCGGCGGCGACGCCTTTTCGAGGTCGACCTGCTCCTGCATCACGGCGCAATTCTCGTCCTCCATCTGCTCCAGCCTATCACCAACGCGTGCCGCGGCCGCTGAGGCGCCACGGGGCGCGGCGGGCGCGCGCGCGCGCGCGGGGCGGCGTCATGTCGAGTCACCGCTGCGAGAGCAGCTCGATCTCCGCCTCGGACTGCTGCAGCAAGGACTGCTGGTGCTTCCGCGCCTTGGCCAGCTTGCGCGCGTTCTCCTCGCGGTGCTGCTCCGAGCGGTCGAGCTTGCCCTGCAGGTCCTGCTGCATCGCGAGCCGGTCGTCCGCGTCGGCGCCGCCCGGGCCGAGCTGCGAGCCCAGCTCCTTCTTCTCCCGGCGCAGCCGCGCAACCTCGGCGCGCGCCTCGCCCAGCTGGGCCGCCGCCTGCCGCGACTCGTGCGCGTGCTGGCGCGAGGCGGCGTCGGCGGCGATGAGCTGCTGCCGCAGCCCCGCCGCCTCCTCGCGCAGCTGCGCCCGCTCGCCCCCCCACTCGCGCCGCTCGCCCTCGAAGCGCGCGTGCGTCTTTCGCGCGAGCGTCTGCGCCGCCTCGAGCTGCGCCTGCAGCTGCGACACCTGCGCGTCGAGCGAGTAGACGGTCGCGCCTGGAGAGGGGGGGGCAGCGGCGCGGTGAGGAGAGGTGACGCGCGCCCGCCGCGGAGAAGGGAGCGGGGCGGCGTCGCGCCCTCTGCGGCCGACGCCCCTGAGCCGAGCCGGTCCCTCGCTGAGATGGCCGAGACGGCGGAAGAGCCGACCCGGCTGAGCGGGATCGAAGAGCCGCACCGCACGGGCGGCACCGAGAGGGAGGAGGCCGCCCGGTCGACCTCCCGCACGCCCCTCCCCTCTGCGCCGCCGCCCCCTCCCTCGCAGCTGCTGCCCGACGCGACGGCTCCGCCGCCTCCGCGCGTAGAGCGGAGCGCTGCGGCGAGATGCGGCAGGCTGCCGCCCTCGCCGCCTCCGCCGGATGTCGCCACGGCGCACGCCGGGGCGTCCGCCGCCGCCCCCGCCCCCGTCTCGGCCTCCTCCGCCGCGACCTCGGCCGCCATCTCGGCCTCCAGCGCCGCCACCTCGTCCCTCGCCGCCGCCTCTGCCGCCTCCGCCTCCGCCTGCCCCGCCGGCGGCGCCGCGTTGTACCGCTCGAGGTCGCCGGCGGTGAGAGAGGCGAGCGAGGCGCTCACGCCGCCGTCCGCCGCGGCGGCTCCTCGCGACGCGCCGAGCGAGACGCCGTCGCGCGAGGAGCGCCTCTCTCCCGCCCTCTCTCCCGACCGCTCCGAGAGCTCTCCGTCGAGGTCGTCAGCGTACGCGACGTCGTCGAGGAGAGAGGAGCCGCACGAGGAGAGGGAGCTCGCGTCGGAGCGGTCGCTCGGATCGTTGCCGTCGCGCGGCAGCTCCTTTTGCAGCCGCGATGAGATGGAGACGTCGAGCTTTGCGATGGCGGCCGAGCCCTTTGAGAGGGTGAGCGTCCGCCGCAGCGGCGCCGACGGCGGCGCCGATGCGAATGGCGCCATGTCGACCTTGCACTTGGCGAGCGTCTGCGCGCCGCGCGAGCCGTGTCGGATGAGCGCGAATCCGCAGAGCTTCTCGCTGAAGCCGGACGAGGAGGAGGCGGCCGAGGGGGAGCGGAAGAGAGTGCAGATGAGGGTGAGCGTCTGGCCAAAGATTGCGCTGCGGCTCTGCGCGTCGGCCGCCGCCTCCTGAGTGATTGCCGTCTTTGAGCCTCGCGTCCACAGCACCGAGAGGTTGGAACTCGGACACGTCCCGCCGGGCAAAAAGGTGAGGCCGTGCACCGTGACAAAGTACTGGTACTTGAGCTGCTCCGATCCGATATGCGGCCTGGGCCGGGCGCGGGCGGCGGCCAGGAGCGAGGACGGCATCCTGGTGGGACGCTGCAGGTCGTAGGCAAGGCCGGCAAGTCGCGGTGAAACGCTCTCTTTCTTTTGCGGCTCCACTTTGCGTTTCGCGGTGGCCATGCACCGGCGACCGCGGTGCAAGAACACTCTCGTCTCGAGCAGCGTCCGTCTCGCCGCCGCCGCCTCGCGCCGCGACAGCTCGGGTTTGCCGCCTCGCCGCGCCGCGCGAGAAAGAATGCTCGCAGCTGCCGACCCGATCTGCTGACCGGCGCCGGCATCTGGCCTGCACGATCTGCGCCCTCCACCGGAATTCGTATGCAGCATAGGCACCGGGCCTGGCAGCACCGGCTCAACGCCGCGCCCCGCGGTCGGTGCAAGCAGGGAATGTATGTTCCCGCTGCTGCTCTGCTGCAGCCTCCAGTCGCGGTGCGGCCTCCGCACTCTCGGCGTTCGCCTCTCGCCCTGCTGCAGCATCCGTTCCCATCTCTGGCTGCCGTTCGCCGAGCGCCTCCTCAAAGCATGCGAGAATCTCGTCGCTCTGAAGGTCAGTCTCGAGCACGTCGTCAGCAGCGCGGATGCTCGCCAGGGCACGGCCCGCCGTCGGTCGCGGTCTCGTCTTAGTTCTGGCAGCGTCGGCGCCGACCTGCTCCCGCGCTGGCGACGCATCATGCTGCGCTTCGCGAGCAATCGCGTAACGGGAGGCTCGCTGGCTTTTTGTGGCTTTTTTGGATTCTCCCACCCTCCCACCCCTCTCTTGGGTTTTTTTCTCAACCCACGTGCCTCTGCACATCCGTTCACGTGCACGGAGCTTCTTGAGCCACCCACCCAGGAGAGTTGGGGGCACAGACCGAGACGTGAAGATCACGTTCCCCAATTTTCACGGCGGGATATGGCGGGAGGTATGGGGCGGGATAGGGTCAGATATGGCGAGATACATCAAGATACCGCAAAGAAATCGTCCACACTAGGGCTTGGGAATGCACGTAAGACACAGAGTGCACACACACCGCACAGCCCCACAGGGGCAGCACAGGGGCGGGGGGTCACATCGAACATCGTGACAAGAGAGCGCATCATGACAGAGAGCACATGCACAGGCACCACACCGCGAGTACCACCACGAGCACGTAGAAGGAGTAGCGGGAGACAGAGGAGGGCATCGTGAGGGGCACCACCTCAGGTCCTCAGCCCAGCGGGTTGACCGTGGCAAGCTCGACGGCGAGGCGGCCGAGCTGGCGCAAGCAGAGGGCGACGGCTTCGCCAAAGTCCGTCTCGAGGTATGCGATGCCGTGCCGCGCGGCGAGCGCCTTGACGCGGGGCGCGACGGCGCGCAGCCGGTGGCGTGGCAGCTGCGGGAATAGGTGGTGCTCAATCTGCATCTCGAGGCCGCCGTGGAACCATGCGTCCCACCAGCACGTCCGCATGTTACGCGTGGTTGCAAGCTGGAAGCGCAGCACACCGAGAGCTGCCTCCTCGTCGGCGGTGAACTGCTGCGTGCAGAGGTGCGAGAGGAGGAGCTGCACGTGCAGCACCCCTACTCGTGGCAATGCATGATGTGAGGAGGGGCAGCGGGAAGGCGCACCCTGACACGAGGGCGACACGCGCCGACGAGCGCATAGTGAACCGCGACAAACAAAAGCCGTTCGGACATGCCGGGGAGGAGGGCCCAGAGGAAAGCGCCAAACCAGCCCACGTGCAGCGCCATGGCTGCGAGGTCGGCCCACTGGCGGCGGCGCAGCGCGTACGCCCACGAGATCGCCAAGAAGTTGTAGCGGCCGACGATCATCGCCAGAGGCAGAAACGTGAGGTGCTGCACGCGCGTCAAGCATTGCACCACACGCCAGGCGGCGCGGCGGGGCAGTGGCGCCGATGGCAGCTCGGCGAGCCAGTGGGGGATCTCCTTGACCGACTGGAGCCAGAGGGGAAAATAGCGAAACTGCGGGTCGGCGTGGGGGCGCAGTGTGTAGGCGTGGTGCAGGTTGTGCTCCTCGAGCCACATGCCGCATGAGATACCTACGTCGAGGGTCGCCCGCCGTGACAGACGGGACTCTCTCGTGCCGGTGCGGGATTGAGTGGGGAGGAGGTGCCGAGCAGGGCTCCCGCATTAAGCTGCGCGAGCGCGGCGCGTCGCCAAGTGCGCCCCCGTGGCCGCGCAAGCACGCCGTTGTGCAGCGTGTCGTGGCCGATGAAGGCTCCCTGCTGCAGAGCGAGGGCCAAGAGCGCCGCCGAGAGCAGGATCTTCCCACGCGCCGGCTTCGCGTCCGAGCCGGTCGCGGCTAGGAGCACACCCACGGCCGTCCCCCAGAGGCCGATCACCACCGCCTGCTTGAGCCAGTAGAAGGAAGCGTCGGGCTCGAACGCGCCCTCCTCCCAAAGCTGACGCCGAAGCTTACGGTAGTCGGTCGTAGCGCCGTCGCCCACTCTGCTGCTGCTGCCATCGCCGCCACCGCCTCCGCCGCTGCTTCCAGGAGGTCCCTCGTCGGGCTCCGAGAAGAGCCCCCATCGCACGCCCGTCGAGGGCGGCCGGCGTGCTTCGAGCGCACCGACGAGGAACGGCTTGAGTCGCCGCGCCACCGCAGGCGGGTGAAAGAGCTCAAACTGATCGGACGCGTCGCGGCCGGCGTAGGCAAGAAGAATGTCGGAACCTCCCGGGTGACGGTCGTGCCAACGAGACACGTTGTACACCATGCCGTGGATGGCAAGCCAGGAGTCACCTCCGCTCGAGTGCCGTTGCAGCTCCTCGTGAGAGATCATGCGTGTGTCTGCAGCTGGTGCGACCGCCGGCTCGTCGGCTCTGTGCGCGGTGTCGTTGTCGTCGGCAACGTCAGTGGCGCGGTCAGTGGCGCGGTCAGATGCGGCTGCCTCCTGAGGCTGAGGCTGAGGCCGCGCGGGCGGGAAGAGGAGCTTCTCGCTCAGATAGACGACGCCCATGCCGGAGGCGATGCCGGCGACAAAAGTGAGGTGGACGTTGTGCGAAAGGTGCCACGTGGCCCAAGTCGCCGCGTTGGTCCACCCAACCTCGACCGCAGAGCGGAGAGGGCGCGTCTCCCAGTTGGAGACCGTGTGGGTCAGCCGCTGCTGGATTGCCGCCCCCCACTTGCGTGTGCGCTTGGAGGAGAGGAAGAGCTTTGCCGCAATCTCTGCAGTGGCGCCGCAGCAAATGGTGAAGAGCACCTGCGACGCGAAGCCGTGGCGACCAGCAGCAAACGCCCAGTGGCACCCCAAGATGACAGCGTACGCGCAAACGCCCAGCGGCACCAGGCGGGCGCTTCGGTCCTCCTCGCCAACTGAGGTGGGGACGATCCAGCGGCCCGCCAACGCCTCGGAGACCAGGCACACCAGCATTCCCGCTGCGAGCCCCGCTTGCACCGCTTGCAGCATGTCGTTGTACTGTGCGTAGGCCCCGATCGTGCAGCCGAGGAAGGAGCACGCCTCCGTCGCTGATCGCGCGGGGTGGTTGCGCCAGTTGGCGGCGGTGCCGAGGATGCGATCCTGCAGAATCTGGCCGGCGCGTCGAGTCGGCGGCCAGGCCGCAATCAGTTTCGAAGAGGCGAGAAGCGCGCTCCCTGCGAGGCCGGCGAGCAGGCCGGCGACAGCAATGTCGCCGATGTCGCGATAAATTAGCCGCGTCCCCGAGATTCCGTACAGCAGGTAGAGTATTGGGTCCACCAGCGTCGCGGCCCGCGCCGGCCCGAGTCGCGCCGGGCGGTGTGGCGAGCGCTCGCAGGCCGTGCAGGTCTGGCGCATGTGCTTCTCCACCTCCCGGAGCATGGGTGTGAGGGCCTCGCCACAGAGCACGAGCACCCACCCTGACATTGTGCCGCAAAGAATCGCGAGGAACGGGCGGCGGGTCTTGTCATACACGAGCCAGATGCCCGTCAGCCATGTCGTCAGCTCGATGAAGGATCGCAGCGTCTCCGTCTCCCAGTTCCGCACGGTGTGTTTCACGCGCCCAACTAGCACCTTGCCGGCTGTGCGGGTGGGAGGCCAGCCCGAGAGCAGCCGCCCAAGGAGAGTGAAGCAGACCGACGAAAAGAGAGCGAGGGCCATGTTGGTGTGATTGAGCGTCCAGCTTGTCGGGCCGATCTGGATCGCAAACTGCGGGCAACGGGCGGGATCCGGGTGAGCTCTAGGATGCCAATGCGCGACCCATTGGACGCGGCGCGCGAGCGAGCAAGCCGGGATGTGTTGGGGCTGCAAGGGCGAGCAGCCACCTGCACGGCGAGCAGAATCGCCAGGATGGTTGAGGCTGCCGAGAGCATCGGATGCTCCTGTAGCCCGCATTCGGACATTCCTGAGCTGCGGTGGGTCGCCCCGGAACACCTTGTTCGGCGGCAGCTGCGTGAATTCTTGAGATTCCGGAATGAACAAAAGAATTTCCTAGGCTCCTCTTCGATCCCTCCCTGTTCTCTGTTCTTTGTCTTTCTGTAGGGCTTGCCCTCCGTGTTGGGGAAAAATGAAAGGGGCGCAGTCCGCAGACAGGACGCGGCACGGAACGGGCACACAATAATTGCAGAGAGAGGTTAAGTTAGGTAGAGAGAAGCGAGAAACGGGAAGCCGACCTGCAAGGGATCCGAACCCACCACAGTGGGTCCTCAGTCAGTGTGTCGGCGATTTGTAGCCTCGCACAGGGGGCCAAGATGGCCGAGGGCCGTCACACGCTCGTGATGGAGCTCATCGCGCTTCATCCGCGGGAGTACGCGCTCGTCAACTCTCGCGTGCTTGCGCTTTCGGCGGTGATCACCTCCGCGCTCGTCGCCCACTGCGTCACGCTTCTCAACGACAGCAGCGTCGAGCCGGCGACGCCGGCGACGCCGTGGCTGCGTGCGGCGTGCATGGTCCGCGTGCTCGCGGCGCTGCCGCGCCCCTTCGCCTGGTACCGCATCTATGTGCTGCACGCCGCGGCGCTCAAGCAGCCCGAGGTGCTGCGCGTGGCACACCGCTGCCTCGCCGCGCTGGAGGACCCGTTCGTGCGGCTCAACAATCGGCTGCGCACAGCGTACGTCACCTGGCTGGTCGCGATGCTCATCTGGCTCCTCTACTGCTGCATGCCGCACGGCGTTTTGCCCTGGCTCGCCAGCGCGCCCGAGCGCAAATTTTCGCCGTTTGAGAAGCGGCTGCAGTGGCACGTGCTGTGCTGCCTCGCGGCGATGCTGCTCACCAACCTGGGCTCGGCGGCGCTGATGCTCCTCCTCATCTCGCACGGCGACCACGAGCGCGTCGAGGCCTCGCAGCGCCTCGACAAGGCTGCGCCGGCGCAGGAGGTGAGTAGGGGCATGGAGGCGCGGCTCAGCGAGGACCCGTGCATCATCTGCTTTGGCGACCTGGCCGCAGGCGCCTACCCCCCCCCCTAGGCGGTACACCACCTCTTTTCCTTTCCCTCTTCTCTCTCTCTTTTTTTTTTTCCCCGCCTTCTCTCCTTCCTTCTGTCTTTACCCCCTGCGTCT